AGAACTCAAGTGAAGGATAATCTTCCTGAAACGGAAGAAGACTGTGAAACTTTAAGGAAAATACTATAATATAGCCAGAAGTTGTGAGTAGATCCTTTAAGATGAGCCTGGGAGGCTGTCTGACGGCTATTGAATGATTTTCTAAGCAGTAAGCGTCTGTAAACATCAGATCGTAGGTGCGCGTGTGAACACACGCGATAGTCAGCGATAGCTATAACAGATGATGAGCAACGGTCGATCTCATAGAGTCCAGATTTTTAAATGCGCGAGAACGCGCGTGGGAATTTTTAAACTCGCAATAGTTATCACATGAAATCAAGTCCGGTAACCCTCTCTTTTTCTTGTTCCAATATGATAATAACGTTGAAAGGAATCGTCAAAAAAAATATTGAAAATTCTATGGAAGGACATTTGCGATGCGTGAAAATTGCCTTTTCCTAGATTTTCTCAGTGAAATTCCGCCCCGTGGAATTTTTTTTAAAATTCTTTTGCATTTTCCTTTTCAAGTGCCGAAAGCAATCGCTAAGAAAAATCACGGGCTCACCGAGTTAGTTTTCAAATTGTTTGAGCCATAAGCTAAAAAGTGCGTCTGAATAATCCTTTAAAAGTGTTGCTATGGAAACTGCTAGTGACGAAATGACACCTAATTTTGGATAGGCAATGATTATATAATTCAACCCTGTAAAAGTGTTCAACTAGCCTTGGTTAGTCTTTTTGTTGTATTTTTTCAAAGTTACAAACCATCGAAAAGATGAAAACTGGTACCAGCCACCTTAAGCCCCGGCCAAACGAGAAATGTTGCGCCTCGCAACAAGATGTAACATTGTTGGGTCGCCCTACATGTTATATCATGGAATAGGGTGGCCAAACGATATCCAATAACACGTTAGACCTTAGGCAAAACGAAAACTTTACTTTCGCGCTGCGGATTTGATCCAACCACTCCTTCGTATCAGGGAAAGTTACTATGATTGTGGCAGTACCACAAGGCCATCTACGCCATGACTCACTAGACAGCATAAGCATAAAAAGAACGCAACTTTTTGATAATCTTATGCATATATGCTTATCCTTATGTCCGAGCGTTCCATCCAGCTTATATGCTTTTACATGCTTATCCCTATGCTTACATCGCAAGTAAATACCAAGCTTAACATTGCAACAAAAGTTTTTTAATTAACAAAACATAACCTTTTTTTTTTTTCTTTCCCCAAACCTTTACAGTAAAATCTGGAGCAGTGATTGTCTTACACTAACTTCTACTCAGACCATATTTTCTGTCTTTGAAGCCTAATTTAATTTCACATCGTATTCCTCAAAACGCTCACTTACCAGTCCAACACTTCTTAGAACGATTTATACCCTAGTACGGAAATCAAACATCAATTTCTATCGACGACACATAAATTACATTGGTTGATTCAGTTCATAGAGCCTTTGATTTTATATAGATCCCCTAAACTAAATGCCCCATCGAAGCGAAAGAAATAACACACAAAATCGAAAATAAATGTGCCCTCTCATAACTACTTGATAAATACCCCGGGAAATAATTCTCTCGTCTTTTCACCACGCAACTGATGATCATGTTGTTTGTTTCTAAGGCCTTATACACTTCTCAGGCTTTTTAACGATAGCTGCAGAGATTTCTCGTGATCACATCAGCAGGATTTATCCAATTCTTAAGAGTTTGGAGTTTCAGGATTATGTAAGATTTCAAAAAATCTCTAAACGAGTGGAAGAAAGTAGTTCTGCAGAATATATCATTCTACACGTGCAGGGGGTGTCATTGCTATAAATAGCGGGGTTATGTAAAGGTGATCACGAGTTAGCTGAATCTCTTTCAAACCAACATCCTGTTTAGTCCGGGAACAACAGTTAAGGTCAAGAGAAACCCGCATTATGGCTATGTGCTTCTTTTCGCAACTGTCTTTTTTGCTTCAGTTAAAGTTTTAGACAAAATATTCATTGCTATAGCTTGTTACTCGGTAAACGATTAAAAAGAATTTCAGTCAACACGGCAGCTACTAAAATCATAGCTACTAACTATGCTAAAATCAAGAAGTCCAGCTATTTTTTTCGCAAATGCATATAGGAAGTTACGTATTGTTTTCGCTACAGTCACATTCGAGTTTATGCCTTCCGGCTTTTTTCTGCTCCGACGAAGCGAAGCCAAAACCAACTTCGATACCATGTGGGAGAAACTGATGAAAGCGTACCCCGCAATTTTTGGGGCTAGCACAAGCCCTCGTAATCGCAAAGAAGGAATAATAGGTCTAACACAACGCTTTTGTTTTGTACGGTCTCGCGACACAAAAATTCTCCATCTAAGCGGAAGAAATTTAGCACACTAAATGAAATACAAATGAGCACTTTTGTAACTCTATAATAAATAAGCTAGGGGAATGATTTTCTCGTCTCTTCATTACGCAATTGATAATCATTGTGTTCGTTTCTAAGATTACACTTCTCAGTCTGATACAATGAAAATATATGAAGTTCATATATTTTGAACTGCGGTATTAGATACGTATGATGCACTATCCTCGCAGTAGATAGCGCTATTTAAGCAATAGCGAAAATCAGACCTGAAAAAAATCAGGACTGTACGGGATTCGAACCACTGACCTCTGCGATACTAGTGCAGCGCTCTACCAATTGAGCTAACAAGGCAACTGGGAGCAGGCCGTTAAGTTGATTCGTAATAAACCCGTGAAAGTTAAAAATCAGATACAATGAAATATATGAAGTTCATATATTTTGAACTGTGGTATTAGCTACGTATGATGCACGATCCTCGCAGTAGATAGCGCTATTTAAGCAATAGCGAAAATCAGACCTGAAAAAAATCAGGACTGTACGGGATTCGAACCACTGACCTCTGCGATACTAGTGCAGCGCTCTACCAATTGAGCTAACAAGGCAACTGGGAGGAGGCCGTTAAGTTGATTCGTAATAAACCCGTGAAAGGTGATAAATCAGAAACAATGAAAATATATGAAGTTCATATATTTTGAACTGTGGTATTAGCTACGTATGATGCACGATCCTCGTAGTAGATAGCGCTATTTAAGCAATAGCGCTATTTCCGCAATAGCGAAATTTTCGCTATTGCTTAAATAGCGCTATCTACTGCGAGGATCGTGCATCATACGTACTTCTCAGTCTTTTCAACTGTTACTATCATACAGATGCATAAATTTCTCATTATCACTTCAGCACGAGTTATCATGTACCATTTATTAGACTTTTGGAGTTTCAGGATTATAGCAAGATTTCAAAAAGTCTCTAAATTAGTGAAGGACAGGAAATTTGCAGGATATAAAGTCGTTGACCACTGTACCGAAAATAGAAAAAGCTTTAAACGGCGGAGTGTCTAGAAATCGCACAATGAAATTGATCGATGGATTCTTCACAATCGCATTCGATGGTTGTTAGTTCATATTGATACAATGGAACAGGAAAAGATTAAAAGCACACTTTTTATTCAGTGCAGTAAACGAAGATCAGTAAATACTGTTAAGAAGACACCAGGTTGAGAAACCCAAAAACAAAAAGGTGCGCCGTAAACCTCCCAGAATTTAAATTAAGTATAGCTTGACGAGTCTTTAGTTTTGCAAAAAGGTCAACATGTCAAATTATGGGTCTTGTTTTAGCTTAGACAAGCAGAAAAACTTCCCGTGGAAATGTGGACAAAGGAATAGCTTGGGGTGTGAAAGTATGTGGCTTTAAGGAAAATAACATTGCACTGGACACAGTTCAATTAACGCATAGAATGCCGCGAAACATCCGAGTACTTTCTACATCTATTGGCGATAAATTTAACTGATCCTCCGAGAAAATACAAAGCAGTAAGGAAAATAGCTATAAATAGCCTACTTGGGCTTACTTCTCAGTTTTAAATCACAAACCAGTTCCCGTAACTATTTGCCAGCGTATGGATTTTGTTCAATAAACAAATTTATACTTAGTCTTTTTTTGCGGTTCTGATAACGACAATCGAATCTGCTTTGAGAAATGGTATTTTAGATGCTCGTCAGTATGGAAGATGATCTTCAGGTTAAAGAATGCGATGAACTATTCGCGAAACGTCTCAGTCTTCACATGGAAAAGTTACTCCTATGTTTCAAGAGGGCTTATGAACATTTTCGCTGCTATACAATGCCTCAACAGTGCTATCGAAACAGAGCTTTTCCGAAGCAACCTCTGGACACCCTGAATTTTAAGTCGTGAAGCATGGTTGACTGCTTTTCCAAAAATTCTGCGAGTACAGCTGTTTCGACAAAGGTTGTCCAAAGAAAGCGTGAAAGCGCACGTGACAATTCCGAAAGGTAGCCAGGGAAACATCCAATAAATCTCACTAAAAGCTCAGAACAATGCCTCGACCGTACAGCGAAGACTGCATCATTGAGACCATTAAATAGTTTTGTCATGCATCCGCACGTGGAGTTTGTAATAATAGTTGTCTGTAATGGAAGCGGTACTTGACCAGACGGAAAAAACCCTCTCAGATAATGCACAGAACATCTACGATCAGACAGGGTTAGAACGTGCTCTTCCGGGAATATTGCTGTATTTGAAACGAAAAAGGTTTGTCAAATATTTCTTCTCAGTGCTGCTTTTGATTTTTCCTTGCTTAGGTAAATTAAGAAAAAAAAAACATGTTAGATTATTATTATTATTATTTTCATAATCACTTATTTTAAAGCTGACAACAATTGCCCTTCAAATACCTGAAGCAGACAGAGTACTTTTTAGGTCTGATGTTTACGTCCTGGATCCCGAGATGTCGGATGTTCTTGGATGAAAGCGGATTCAGGGTATGTGTTTGTTTGTTGTCCAACACAACATTTCGTTCTCTGTTTTGCTATTATTTAGCCCTGATCGTTTAGTGGTCTTACCTTGATTTTGCTTTTTTATTTTCATTTAATCAGGAGAAAAGACTTAAGCGTACTTGAAATGTTTATAGCCCGATCGGTAAAAGAGCTGAGGTGAAACGTATGGCGCAGAACTGGGGACCGCGCATAACCGCCATTCCTATTTGTTCAGAACGAATGATTGAGGTTGGCCTTTATCAGGGGAACGTCAATGGAGCAACATTTGAAGGCTTTGTAGATGAAAAGCTATGCCTCAACTTGCTTCCATTTAATGGAATCAACCCGCGATCAGTGGTCATAATGGGTACTTGATAATCTTTGGCAACATCATAAAGGTCGGCACACACGAGGGGACTAGTCCCTGCGACTAGTCCTAGCGACCAGTTTCATGCGACTAGTCCCTTCGTGTGAACTACACATTTCTGTGGTCGCAGGGACCAAAATTTGGTCCCTGCGACTGGTCGCACGAATTCAAACTGGTTTGAATTCGTGCGACCAGTCGCAGGGACTTGTCGCATGAAACAAATGTTTGTCCCTTCGTGTGAACTGTTTGTGCGACCAGTCCCTGCGACTAAACGGTAAATAAGCCAATCACGGGTCAGTATGATGCGTGACTTCCGGTATTTGTAAACATTGCAGTTTCTATGAATTTTCCCTGACTTCTAGATTTCTACAACTGAAGAATAAAAAACTATTTCTAGTTTTGTAAACATATACAGATGTCTTGGAGCCGTTTTGATGGAATTTTTACCCTATTTGACTCTGTGTCTGTTAAAAATAATAATAATAAAAAAAAAACGGAACACGTAAAAGCATGAATAATCCGACTGAATAAGTGTAGTTCATTTGCGTTGATGTTTAATAGTGCTACAATGAAAAGTTACCAAATTTTCATTGTTTTCGTGTAACGCCCCAGACTAAGAAACATCTTTTGCCTCTTAATTTTCCTATGTTCTTGTGCAATTGAGTGCCCTCGNTTTTTTTATTTTTAACAGACACAGAGTCAAATAGGGTAAAAATTCCATCAAAACGGCTCCAAGACATCTGTATATGTTTACAAAACTAGAAATAGTTTTTTATTCTTCAGTTGTAGAAATCTAGAATTCAGGGAAAATTCATAGAAACTGCAATGTTTACAAATACCGGAAGTCACGCATCATACTGACCCGTGATTGGCTTATTTACCGTTTAGTCGCAGGGACTGGTCGCACAAACAGTTCACACGAAGGGACAAACTTTTGTTTCGTGCGACAAGTCCCTGCAACTGGTCGCACGAATTCAAACCAGTTTGAATTCGTGCGACCAGTCACAGGGACCAAATTTTGGTCCCTGCGACCACAGAAATGTGTAGTTCACACGAAGGGACTAGTCGCATGAAACTGGTCGCTGGGACTAGTCGCAGGGACTAGTCCCTCGTGTGTGCCGACCTTAAGATTTTGATCGAACGGTAAAATAACTGTTTTCACCCTTATCCAAATTCTCTGTTAAAAATATCTTTATAAATAGCCGTCGTCCATAAATTAATTTCTTCCCTTCTTATTTTTCTTTTAGATAATGCTGCTATCCACCACACGCAAGCAGCGACTGACACAATTAATGCCACGGGAGCGATTGTTCTTTTTCTTCCGCCCTACAGTCCTAATATCATGCCGTGTCAGGAACTTTTTGCACAAGTAAAGAGCTGGATCAGGGAAAACGATATAGCCTGCCAATTTTGCATGGATCCAGAACTTATGGTTGAAGAAGCGTTTCTTCAAGTCACAGATGAAGACATCGAAAACTATCTTTAACATGCAGAGTATTTTTAATGACTTTTTTTTTACAAGAGTTACCATTCACGTAAATTATGAACTTGTTTTCAATTACAAAGAGCTTAGTTCTGTCAACAGCTTTCGTCAAGAACACCATCGTCTTTCAAACTCTTGAGGTCCTTCAACTGCTGAAATATGGCACTACGGATACGTGTCTAAATCAAAAATGAATCAGTCGATTAATTAAAACTGAATACATGCAGACACAAAATGTTTATCTGTTGGATAAATGTTAAGATGCCTACCTTTTTTTGGAAGTCCGTAGAATTCCCGGTGACTTCGTTGCTGGATGGTTGGGTTTGTTTGACCGAACCTCTCGCCTTTCCAGTAAAAAATGGGACGTCCGGAGGGTTTTCTTCGTCGTCGTGGGTTCCGTTTACCTGAAACAAAAAGCAACACCCATACCTGCATTTTAATTGTCACACTAATGAGCTCCAAGTGTTATAAGCAACAGTCAATAAATTGAGGTTTGCTTCAAAAATCGTAAAATAGTAAGTACAGTAGGTATCAAGCAATGTTTTAAGGAAAATCAGAGATAAGTGATACGGAGGGAAAGAAATGTAATTACTTTTTATTATATTATGTTCGCTTCCCGATTATCAATCGCTTTGTTTCAGTGCACGATAATGCGTGCGTTACTCCACGTGCAGCTCGTGCTATTTTTATGCGTTCGTCCAAAATGTATACGAATAGCTGGCACTAGAGTAAGAGCTAGAATGAGCAGTGTTTTGTTACCCTTGGCAGTTATAGTCGTAGGTTGCATGTTTCAGACGTCCTTTGCCAAAAGACGAAATAATAAGGATACGTACGACTGAACTTTTAACCTTCAATTAAGGAGTTGTGATGCTCGCAATAGAAATGTATGCACAGGACTTAAAATGTCCATACTCAGAATTTTTTTTTTAGTACAAAAACGCTTTTGTATAGTTAGCTAAGAATTTAAGTGCGGACTCTAAGTGAAGATCCGCCTACAGCCCTGAAACCACGTTTGAAGTATTATTTAGTTTGTTTATCTACTATTTGAGGATCGCTTTATGACCAAAGTAATATATGTAGCAGTTGTGTGCATGAAGCAATTATACAGTTTCAGTTACAGTATCACTGATTTGTCATCATAATTTTTTATTTCGAATTCAGTTTTTATTTCAGGCTTTTGACAACTTAATTCCGCTGACTTCATTTTAATTTTTAAATATTTACATTTATAGTTAAAATATCGTTTCAATACTTAAACAGTTTTTAGAATTATTGTTTGTTGTCATTAGCAGTTACAGTTGCAGTGAAAGTTAGCAGTTTCCAGTTTCAGTCGTCTGACATACAGGGTAAAGACAAAATGTTTTGTTTTATTGTCTAGTTTTGCAGGTTTAGTGAAAATTTGATTGCCAATCAATATAACAAGGTTTACTTACCGTCAATAAATATTTCTTTATTTAGTGTTGCAAGGAACGCTTCAATATTTCTTGAATTGTTAAGAGCTTCTGAGGGCTTTAATAGCTTTGTAAATCCTAGTATCTCAATGCGAAAAATACATACCCATTGGACCTCTGATATGAAGCGTGTGTGTGTGTGTGTGTGTGTGTGATTGTATGTGTGTGAGTGAGTGTGTGTTTGTGGGAGGGGGGTGGGTAGGGGGTAAGGGTTTCGATGCCACCCCCTCAAGGTTTTGTAAATGAGGTGAGAAAGGGTTGCATGCCACCCCCCTCAGATTTTGCAAATTTTGGAAAGGGGATTCCTGGCAGCTGTTGGTTTGTAGGTTGCGGAATTTTTTAATGTGTCAACCGTCCCCAAACTTCGACATTTTAAACATAATTCTTCTAGTTTCTCAAACTAAATTATGAAATAGATTCCTTTGGTACATGTACATGGTTACATTTAAGCTTTCTGGCTTAATTTTGCACTGATTTTTTGTTATTTCTCATAACCAACTAAGGCGAAACAGTGAATAGGCCACTTTACAGTTGTGTACTTAGTTGCCAAGCCTTTGATTTGGAGTGAGGCTAGAGGCTAGGTGACCTTGTTATGATAGAGACCTGTATCTAGTGAACATGATAATAAAGCGATTTATATTTGAAAAGCAGCAAAGTTTGTATCATAACAAGGTCACCTTAGCCTCACTCCCATTCAAAGGTTTGGCAATCAAACACACAACTGTCAAATGGACTGTATTACTCGTATGTATTCGTATGTATCCGTATGTTAGTCGTATGTCACTCGTATGTATTCGCATGTATCCGTATGATACTCGTATGTTACTCTATGCCCTCGTGTGGTGTTTTAGTCAGGATCCAAGAAAAACACAGCTGTCTACAGTTCCCGACAGCCTTTTCATACGCATCATTTTATGACCCTCTTTCATTGGTGTAATTATCAATTTTTCTTATCAGAGAGGGAGTAGCATGTACCCTTGGATACACTCCTTGAACTGTATACCTGGGACACAAAGATGTTGGTTAGCACAAAGTTTTGTTTCTGCTAACATCGCTTTTTAGGAGAAAAAGTAATACAATTATTCTGCTCACGGGATGCTGTGCTGTTGCACAGTTTTAGTGATAGCCCAGTATTATTAAGTCTATTCGCGAGTTCAAGGAGTGACTTTGTAGTAAAGACTGGCTCGTTATCACCTTGTTCCGTCTCTGTTTTCCGCTCTAACGGTTGGCTTTTCGAAGAGGCAGTACATGTACACGTCTAAGCGAACAATATTAATATCATAACTTTCGTTAGCTTGTATACAGCCACTAAAAACATTTTAAGTAGCAAATGTATTGACAGATGCTAAAATAATGTATTTGTCTGGCGTGTTTGCCTCACATTCTCTTAATAGACAGAATGCGTTGCATCTAAGGCTTTTGATTTACAGAGAGAGGGCAAGAAAAGAAGAGGAAACTATTGGGGAGGGAAGGATGAAGGAGCGGTGGACGTGAAGTGGACAAGGCGGAGGAGAGGGAGAGAGGAGAATATGGATGTGATAAATTAAACTGAATGACGAGGTTGCCGACGTCGACCCAACAATGATGACAAACACATCGATGACGAACGAGCGAAGAGGACCTGCGCCACGATAACGATTTGATTGAAAGACTGGTAGGTTGTAGATTTAACTACCTACCTTGCCTATCCCGACAGGTTTACACCTTGAACCTCATGCTCAGTGTGACCAGCAGTGCCACCAGGAAGTGGCATTCAGCAAATTCTTGGTCCCGTTTGATGTGGCTGATTATGGAAACAAAAGTATCTCAAATGGTACCATTAATAAGCATGTCCCGATTGCGCTGGGCACTTTTTCAGCACTTTTCCGAATTTGGAGCACTATTTTACATTTCTAGCACTCTTGAGCACTTAATTGACTTTTGAGCAGAATTTGAGGATTTTTTCGCGTTTTGGGAAACATTTCAGCACATTTTTCACAATTTTCCATATGTTAAATGCAACATCTTGTCTTTAAAACGTTTTCAGTAAAGCCGAGAAATTCTATTATCATATATGAACATGAATTATGAATAATTCCACCTTGTCCCCTGACTGGCTGACTGTTTTCATGGGAATACACGAGCTATGATCCTTTTAACCGTGAGAACAATTCATTTTGATTGGTTCGTGACCTGGATATAATAGATCGAAGAGAGACTACCAACAGTTGATTACATACAGTCCTGTGATGCTCTGTGTTTCAGGAACTATGCTTGATTTATATTAAAAAGAGATTTTGTTCGACAAACCTTGTTATACTTTTGGTCACCTCAGTATATTAGAAAATCGAGAGTTAAAGGTTTGATAAAAGTGGGAATATGTGTAAACCTCTGCTAGAAAATAATAATAAAAAAACCTAACTGCGAGCAACTTTCGTAGATTACTTCTAAATCCAATCACTTTTTATGGAAATCGAGCACTATTTGGGCACATTTTTACCCTTGTTTTGAGCCCTTTTGGCGAGTTTTCCAGCGCAATCGTGACATGCCTAACAACTATCCACCGCTTTAAAGGAAAAATTGTGCGACTATGGACACCGTCGCTTTGAAACCTCAGCTAAAGAACTGGTCATTATATAGCGCCGGAGGGGAGTCGGGGGGTATTTGGGGTATCACATGGTTTTCAGGGGGACTGGAGGGGGCATCAGTCGTCACTAACAGAGTATAAAGGGGGTAAATACAGAGATGTACTGCAGAGATATACTACAGAGCCTTACTGGGGAGGGATCATTTAAATTTCATTGTGACGCAGCCACGATTCCCCGACCCGGCCTCCCCCTTCCCCACAGGCGTTAGATGATGACCGGTCCTTAGACCCGGTCGCTTACAGTGAAAAATTAAGGGAGGTCCACAGACAGCAGCTGCTCTGGTTATCACAAACTCTTTTGACAACGTAAGCCACCTTTTAGTATAGCTATAGAGACGGAAACAGTTTGAGACTTAGGTAGCTAAGCAACGTCGAGATGGCGGTGTGGTAGCCGTGCGCGACTTTTAAGCACGATTGAGTACAATTTTCGAAATACTTAGTTGCTCTCGTATCATTTGTTGTTGTTTTCTTTGTGGCTGAGACAAATGTTGTATCGTTCCCAGAGTAAATTTCGTCCAAAGTCTCACTATCATAATTGTTGTATTAGCTGATTTTGAAGTAATAAAAATGGAGTGCAGATAAATAAACATCACCAGGCACAAGAGATTGTATAGTTTTTATTCCCTTGCAAGGAATCATCACGAACTCAAAGTAAAATTTATACAAACATTGTAAGGTACAGAAAACCCTTATTGACTTTGTTGTGGTTGGTGTGACGCTTTATTAAAAATTACTCCATTCCTGAAACGTTTTCGCTTAAGCTCATTCCTGAACTTGGTTGACCATTAACCGGATAGGGTAGTTAAAGAGAAAGTTCTACGAGGCTGCTGTGGATTAATCGATTTATTAAATTCCTTTGTGCGGTTTGAATATTAAGAACCCAGTGAAAATGACGAACACGAGAATGTCAGGAAGTTTTCACATTAATCATAAAAGGATCCTTTGTGACAATCATAAAGATATGCCTTTTTGGCAGATACTTGTGAGTCATCACAACTGGATCAGCCCCCATAACAACATTTGCCAGAAAATATGTTTTGAAAATAATCACATTCAGAAGACGCGAGGTCAAAACACTGATAATTAGGGTTATATCAACTATTCGTTGAAATTGTAAATTGGCCACCATAATGAATAAAAAGGCTGACGTTTCGAGCGTTAGCCCTTAGTCAGAGCGAACGGAGGAATTTTGGGTTGTATGTGGGTTTCTATGTAGAAGCGGGGGTACGCCATTGGTGGGAACATGGTAACGAGAAGAACACGAATAAATTAGTGGAATGAAAAGCGTTCGTTGATACCTGTGGGATTAAGAGTGTCGATTTGAAAGATTAACTTTTTTTCAAGAGTTTTGCGGCTTTCCGTGTTGCTTAAATGTAAGGAAAGACCGCAGATTGCCATATGTTGCTTAGAACGATTAGGTAAATTAAAGTGTCTGGCGACTGATCTTGATGCGTCCTTGTCAAAACACTGACTTGCGTGTAATATCGTGCCACTGCAATTTGAAGGGAAATCGATTAGTCATCTATTAGAAACATCATCTGGCCCTAGATATCACCACTGACCACTAACAACAAGAGGAAGCCATGGTCCCTTACAGATAATACGATGAGCTTTTATTGAGCCGTTTAGATCAGATAGCAGCATAGTTAGTCCCCCTCTACTAATTATGATAGCAGTAAATGTGAGTGAAGGAGTAAGTGCAACATCCCTTTCAAATTATTATGATATATAGAACGTGGGTGTTAGGTTAACTTCCTTAGAGCAAGATTGGAATTCCGTCACTCCAAGCCTAATACTTGACCTTTTAAGGTACTCAAGTGTTAAAATATTCAACCTCCATTGCTTTATTCAATTGTAAGAACCGATAATCTTTTAAGGGATTAGGTTAATTTACTGTTTCTCGCATCCGAAATACAATTGATTTTTAAAGTTATAAGCAATTATTTTAAAGGAATGTTGCACTTTCTTATAAACTCACATTTACTGCTATCTGATTTTAACCAAAAAAATCACTCAACAGCTCATCGTATCATCTAAAAGGGACTATGGCTTCTTGTGAACTGCAAAGACCACCCATCGGATGAGATTAATGTTCAGTTTAGTTGTTAGTAGTCTGTAGTGATATCTAGTGACAGATGCTTATGTTTCTAATATTTGACTATTCAATTTCCCTTCAAAATGCAATGGCACGATTTTACACGCAATTGTTTTGACCTCACGTCTTCTGAATGGGAATATTTTCAAAAAAAATATTTTATTGCAACGTTGTTATGGGGACTGATCCAGTTGTGATAACTCACAAGTATCCGCAAAAAAGGTATATCTTTATGATTGTGACAATGGAGAGGAAGTTTACACCACTTACGTTCTTATGATCATTTAATGGGTGAGATGAAAAGTTCATTTTAGTGACACTTCCTGACATTCACGTGTTCGTCGTTTTCATTGGTTTCTTAATATTGAAACCGCTCAAATGAATTCAATGAATCGATTAATACACGGCAGCTTGTAGAACTTTCTCTTTTTAATTTTCCTATCCGGCTATAAGTGAGATATGATTCCAACAGAGAACTTCACTCCTATAATGAAATATTGAGGTTTTAGTTGTCCAGTCTCATCACTTTTAAACTCTCATTGACGGAACGATTTGTGTGATGGGAATCCCCCAGGAACATAAAACTCCTTTCTTGCTTCTTCGATATTGCGCCTGATTTAGGTACTCCAATTGAAATGCATGTCATAAAATAAGCTTCCTAATGGTAAAAATAGTGGTTGCTCGGCATTCTATTAAAAATCGTGCCTCCCCCATAAGTGTAAATTCAAGGTTGAGCAGGAATGACTATAAAAAGGGATTTGGTAATTTTCTCATTCGTGACTTTTGGCTCGGACTGGACAAGATCTATCGCCTGACGCAAAACAAAAGAGAAAACAAACTCCGCGTGGATTTGGGAGTAACGGCCAAAAAAACTGTCTACGCACAGTATGAATGGTTTGGTATTGAGAATGAGACAAATCGTTACAAGCTGGACATTGGCAGTTTTTCGGCATGTAAGTCAATTTACTCTTTCCTAATCAATGCACTTTTTCATAAACGACAGTTACTATCACCTCCCTTACACAAGGTAGATCTCAAAACGTTTGTCTCCTAAACGACTGTTTGCCTTGAGAATATCAGTGTGATTCATATCTGGTTATGCATATCAAACTCATGAGACTAACCCTGAAAAACTAATTTACTTGAGAGTTGCCTGTGATTTGGTGGCATAGAATCAATCAGGTGACACAGGGACCTGGGGTGTATAGGAAATTAACTGGTCGGATTTGATTCAGTAACTTTGATGTTCTAGAATTCAAAATATTTTTCTGAAATGTCGCATCCACAAGAAGTAGAATCCCATCGTTTTATACACAGAAATGGTCCAGAGCTAGGCTTTCAACAATTACGAATAGTTTTTATCTATAAATGTAAAAGAAATTGATTTTTTTCCTTTTTGTTTTGTTTAGCTTCAACTGTTAAAAGGGATTCTCTATTCGCACATAATGGCAAGTCATTTAGTACCTGGGACAGATCTTCAGCTGACCATGGTTGTAAATCGGTTGGGGGAGGCTGGTGGTACCTGAAAGGCGTTCATTTTTCCTCAAATCTCAATGGCATCTACCCTTGTGATGGAACTCCTTCTCATCAAGATAATCAAATCCGCTGGGGAGGATTAATAAACCACGATGCTGAGGCTAACCAGGCTCCGAAAAGAACTGAAATGAAAATCAGACGAAAGGACTTTTTATCGTGGGTTAGTGGAGGGGAAGGATTTTGTATGTTTGTATAAACACTGACTTGCGTGTAATATCGTGCCACTGCATTTTGAAGAGAAATCGATTAGTCATCTATTAGAAACATCATCTGGCCCTAGATATCACCAATGACCACTAACAACTAGACTGGACGTTAAGCCCATCCGATATGGATGATCATTATAATTTAGAGGAAGCCATGGTCCCTTACAGATAATACGATGAGCTTTTATTGAGCCGTTTAGATCAGATAGCAGCATAGTTAGTCCCCCTCTACTAACTATCGCTCATGATGTAATTGGAATGTTCCAGCCTAACACAGTTTAGTCCGCCGCTAATTGTAATAAGAACGGAATTCCAACCTTGCTCTAAAGAAATTAACCTAACACCCACGTTGTCAATATCATAAGACAATTTTACTACGGGGACTGTTACAGTGACGATAACTCGCAAGAATGTCGCGCAAAGATGATTGCGCAACACAGCCAGCATTTAGGGTTCATGAATGTCTTTCATAAAATAATGCAAAAAGGTATGGTTATCTCTTTACAGATGAATATCACATGGTTTGTTAATTAAAACGGCAAAGATACAGAATTCTACAAGTCCTTATCTTTTTCATACAATCGTAATCGGACCGTGAGGGAACATTGCATTTATTTTAAGGGTTACTAAGGTTTGACCTCAGAATTGTGCAAGCTTTGAAGTTTGAAAAAGCTCCGCTAGCTACGTTCTAAGAGCGGATGGCTGTTTTATAATTTCATTAGTGAATATAAATAACGGATCATTTCGTCTTTCATTTATTCCCTATTCAAGACTACACTTGGTCGCCTGACCTTGAAAATCGGTTTGTAATTTACGTAATTAATCCCAGGTTCGACAGGATCAATGAGATGTGGAAATGAACCGTTTAGCTTTAATAAGCTCCACAGCGAGACACAGAACATCACTACCTCTGTTATCCTTTCCTCTTTGAAAAATGTTTCTATGCTCCAAAGCACAATCACTTTGATGATTCGGAAGACGTAAAAAGCAATTGCATCAGTACTAGTTACAAAATCGAATCATTTGTCTTGGATGAAAGTCAAATAGGTTTACTTAGTGGTACTTCCGACTACGGCGTGCCACAAAACTTTACTTAAGCCATTGTAAGTTGCGTTTTACAATCCAGTCTCTGCGAGACAAAGAAACGAGCGGATCCTGACGGACTTCATTAAATTAGAAGCAAACGTACACAATTTTGTAAAAAAGATCGAACATATACAAAGACTGCGCGGCACGACTTCGGCACCTCACTGAGGCAATGATTAATGACAGGTACAGGAAACGAAATTTGCATTACGCGAGTACATCAATCAAGCACCTAAACAAAGGTGAAGGTGAAGGAAAATGACTATGAGTAACATGAAAAAAAGTGGATTCCTTTCATTGTACGCGCTCGTTATTTTTAATCTCAAACGTAAGTACTGACAAATATACATCAAATGCACCTGAGCCATCGGAGTCGATCGTAAAAACACCACAGACTGTTTGACCCCCTTGTTGCAACTCAGCACAGTTCTTAGCTGTTGAGGAAAGTTGGCAGAAATATGAATACATGAACATGAAATTCTTGTCTTTTTAATTGAATCAATAATGACTTAAATCTTCCTATATTACCTATGCAATCATAAAGGTCAAAGGAAGAAGACGAAAGCAGAAGAAAAGAAATTTAAGAAAGGAAAATCAATGGGATAGGCTTAATAATGACAAGCACATAACATGTTTCAACCAACGATCAGTTGATCTATATAAAGCGAATGCGGATGACTTCAAAAGAGGTCAAATGCACGGGAAACAGACTTGCAATCTCGCTTTCGTCCAAGAGTCATAGAAACCTAGTTTTAACTCAGAAAACATAACGCGAAGCATTATTGTTTTAAGTGGGGTCCTCTTTTTTAGGAAAAAACTAATTAGGATATGAAGGTTGCAGAATGAAATGAAGGTTCAGAATCCTACCTGTCTCGCAATTTCTGTTTCCTCAAAGGATAATATCTATGTCACCTTAAGTGCTGTTTTTGTGCTCTGTAGGGGCTGCGCGAGTTAAAGATAAAACATCAATCGTCATCAAAAGCGCCACACTGAGCAGAGAAGTAGAACTTTGTAAAGCAGACATGATGGCATGGAACATCTTTCTCTGGGGTTGAAATCTACTATGGCTTGCAACGTAACAGTTTTAGACTGAAGAAATTTTAACTGCTCAACCTTGTATTTACACTTATGAGGGAGGCACGATTTTTAACAGAATGTCGAGCAACCACTATTTTTACCATTAGTGAGCTTATTTTATTACATGCATTTCAATTGGAGTACCTGAATCAGGCGTAATGCCGAAGATGCGATTAAGGAGTTTTTTGTTCTTCGGGGATTCCCGTCATACAAATGGTTCTTTCAATGAGGTTTAAAAGTGATGAGACTGCACAATTTTTTATGGGAAACCAAAACTTTAACACTCCATAATAGGAGTGAAGCTCTCTATGTGAATCATATCTCCCTTATAACCGAATGGGGAAGTTAAAAAGAGAAAGTTCTACAAGCTTCTGTATATTAATCGATTTATTGAATTCATTTGTGCGGTTTGAATTTTAAGAATCCAGTGAAAATGACGAACACTTAAATGTCAGGAAGTGCTACTAAAATAAAGTTTTCACCTCACTCAGTAAATGAACTTGAGACCGTAAGTGGTGTAAACTTCTTCTCCATTGTGACAATCATAAAGCTATACCTTTTTGGCGGATACTTGTGAGTTATCACAACTGTATCAGTCCCCATAACAACGTTGCTAGAAAATATATGTTTTGAAAATATTCCCATTCTGATGACGTGAGGTCAAAACAATTGCGTGTGAAATCGTGCCTCTGCATTTTGAAGGGAAATTGAATAGTCAAATATTAGAAACATAAGCATCTGGCCCTAGATATCACTACAGACTACTAACAACTAAACTGAACATTAAGCCCATCCGATGGATGGTCTTTCCAACTCAGAGAGGAAGCCATAGTACCTTTCAGATGATACCATGAGCTATTGAGTGATTTTTTGGTTTAAATCAGATAGCAGTAAATGTGAGTTAATAAGAAAGTGCAACATTCCTTCAAAATAATTGCTTGTAACTTTAAAAATCAATTGTATTTCGGAGGCGAGAAACAGTAAGTTATCCTAATCCCTTAAAAGATCATCGGGTACGACAATTAAATAAAGCAATGGTGTTTGAGTACCTTAAAAGGTCAAGTATTAGGCTCGCTCATTGTGTAAGTGCATTGACTGAATTCCGATCTTGCTCTAAAGAAGTTAACCTAACACCCACGTTCTCAGTATCATAAAGAGCTGCTACAGTGACGATACCTCAGAAGAATGCAACGCAAAGATGATGGCGAAACACATTATGACAATTTCAACTCATGCGTAAAATTATGCAAAAAGTTTTCATTATCTCTTTACAGATGAATCACGCACAATGTTTAAACTAAATTCTTTAACTCTTTATTTCTTTCATACAATCATAGTCTGACAGAGATTGAACATTTAATTTAGCTTTAAGGGTTAATTAGGTTTACCTTGGAATTGTTCTACAAAAGAAAGCATTTTTCAAACTAGAAGAGCAAGCTTCACGCTTATTTCGACCCAATCTTTGTGAATTGGAACTTCCCATGTTAATTCGCGCAAAGAAATACATATGCTGTATTGCAGATTATCGTCCCTTATGAGTATTGGGAGACTCCCGGGAAATACAGTTGTCTTCCAGCAGATTCTCATTACATCTTTAGTTTCTAAGGAGCAGGATGCCCTTTATTCCATAGCAGCCCTCCCTTATGAATATTGGGAGGCTTCCGGGAGACATAGTTGTCGTCTAGCATATTCTCATCGCGTCTATGGTTCCTACACTTTAACTTAGGAAACTGCAGTATAAATACAGGCTCGAGTCGTTGAGATTTCTTCAATCTACAACTGTGCTACGTGTACATTTCGAGATCTACAGCTCTAAGGTTGGGAGAGGTATTTCATACGCATCGTATCATGTCTGTTTCACAAAATTCTTCTTTGGTGCTTATTGTGGCACTTTTATTCATGATTCAATTGTTACCTTCAACCCGTGCGGCTCCGATAAGTTGCAAAAACAACAGCAGCAAATCCGAGAAATGTGTGTAAGAAACTATGCTTTGGTATATTATGATAAACCTTGAATTACATTTCCTTTAATACGACGGCTGATCACATTTTGACAGAACGTTTCTTTTGGTTAGCGTTAGGATTCAGAGATTCCTTGCGAAGAACAATTCTACTTGCACTCTAGCGTTCTCCATGAGTTCAGAGCTTTAAAAAAAAATGAACTAACGATCCTTTACTCGTTGCAATTTTTCTTATATTTTCTATTATTTCTTCTTTTCCCCGGTTATTCCCTTTCCCTGATAGTCGTAATCGATGAGAAAAGTTTTATTTTTTGTCTCTTAATAGTTAAGAATTGTGGTGAGCTTTACAAGTGCGGTCAAACCATAAGTGGCGTTTATACAATAGACCTGGCTGACGGTAAAGGTGCCTTTAATGTCTATTGTGATCAGACAACAGACGGTGGAGGATATACAGTGATCCAGAAGAGGGTGGATGACACCGTAGATTTCAACCGTACTTGGAAAGACTATAAAAATGGATTTGGTGATTTCCTCATTCGTGACTTTTGGCTCTGACTGGAAAAGATCCAACGCCTGACGCAAAACAAGACAGAAAACAAACTCCGCGGGGATCTTGAAGTAACTGCCGACGAAACTGTCTACGCACAGTATGAATGGTTTGGTATTGAGAATGAGACAAATTATTACAAGCTGCACATCGGCAGTTTTTCAGGTAAGTCAATTTATTCTTTCCTAATCAATGCACTTTTTCATAAACAATAGTTACTATCACCTCCCTTACACAGGGTAGATCTCAAAACATGTCTCCCAAACGACTGTTTGCCTTGAGAATATCAGTCTGATTCATATCTGGTTATGCATATCACACTCATGAGACTAACCCTGAAAAACTAATTTACTTGAGAGTTGCCTGTGATTTGGTGGCATGGAATCAATCAGGTGACACGGAGACCTGGGATGTATAGGAAATTAACTAGTGGTCGGATTTGATTCAGTAACTTTGATGCTCTAGAATTCAAAATATTTTTCTAAAATGTCGCCTCCAGAAGAAGTAAAATCCCATCGTTTTATACACAAAAATTGGCCAGAGCTAGGCTTTCAACAATTACGAATAGTTTTTATCTATAAATGTAAAAGAAATTGATTTTTTTCCTTTTTGTTTTGTTTAGCTTCAACTGTTAAAAGGGATTCTCTATCCGATCATAATGGCATGTTATTTAGTACCTGGAACAGATCTTCAACTGACCATGATTGTACATCGTCTGGGGGAGGCTGGTGGTACCGGAAAAACTGTCTTGCTTCCTCAAATCTCAATGGCATCTACCCTCCTAATAGAACTACTAATCTTGGGATTAATCAAATCCGCTGGGGAGGATTACATGATGCAGCTAAGGATAACCAGGCTCCTAAAAGAACTGAAATGAAACTTAGACGAAACGACTTTTTATCGTGGGTGAGTGGAGGGGAAGGATTTTGTATGTGTTAGGATAAAATTTTCCAGATTCCCCTACAAGGCTCTGTAATATTTTTAAGTTTTTTCCCTATGGCAGTCAAAAACAAACATCCTCCAACCACCCAAGCGATAACTGACGTCTGGCTCTTAATTATTTGTGCTGATTTATTTTACTTAACGTGAACTCCAATTGCATATTGTGAAGGGAAAACCAAGTTTAAAATTTGGGATAGTTATCTAAGAATAACCAAGGAACGTGTTTTATTTGAGGAACATGCTTTAAAATACGTCGACTTTCCACATGCTTAGACCATGGAAAAATCGAAGGTAAATGAAGCCTGCTGCGCTTATGTCCACCCTCAAAGTGATCTTCACAAATACGTGTATTATCGGCGTCGATTTTTAATGTTGCGTTACGAATTAGAATTTTGTACTGTCTTCGTAATTTTTTGTCCTTTGGAATTCGGTAATACGAAAGCTCATCGTTGGTTCTGTAATTATTCGTACATCCAGGAACACAAAAATTAGCATGCTTTACCATTTTTTTTCTTTAGTGTTTTGCGAAAACTTTCCTCGCTACCGCCATTTTGAATTTTCGCGCGTCCACCCAAACGATCCCAGACGACCGCTACGAGTCAAGTTCGTGCTCAGATTCCCAATAGTTTCTGGAGTGTGGAATTAGGTTTGGCATGGGCAGAATTCTCACCCCAAGCTCAAGATGTCAACACCCAAACTCCTAAAATAGGGAAAGATGTCTCTGTGCAATTTCGGAGCAGTCGTAACGCTAGAGGCAAATTTAGTCAATTGAAAATACATAAAAATACAAATCTGTTGTAACAGTAGTTTGGCCGCCCCGAACAAAGTAAACAACTAGTACGCTAAAAATAACTTGGCAGGTTATCGGACATCCGTTCCAGTAAAGAGTAAAAGCACACAGTGCACTTTGCTCAAGGAGTTCATTACGTCGACCCCGGCTCAGAGTGACGAGGAAAATTCGGATCAAAAGGAAGAAGGTGAAGAAGAAGTAAAAGAATGAAGAATTACGCAAGTTAAGATTACATAACACGTGCAGCGAATGTGAGAGAATAGCTTTATTGTGTTTAATACAAATGCCGGTCTAATCAAGTTGAGGTCCTACATTTTTAAGGCCAAACACCGCTGCATTTCTTAAATCTAACGATCGCTTCACTTTGTGAAGTGACAAACGAAGAGATTTCGCCAAAAGGCGAAAATTGTAACTCAGAGAAATCCCTTACCAGTCTGTTTCGTAATCGCTCGACTGGATCGGCCTCATCTGATTAATTCGAGGAGTCAGAACTAGCCTCACGGTCGTAAGGCTCAAACACATATATGGTTCAGTTCCTTGAGCGTCTGCACTCTCGATCACCGACGATGAATCCGAAAAGGAAAACTCGAATCACTAGAGTCGGACTCCATTACTATCGCTCGTACGTTTTTCAGCACCAGGATTTTAATCGAATGAAACGTTTTAGAGAACATTTTCTCCTTCCAGTAGATTTTTTTTGGCAAAAGATCTACATTTTAATTAAATGCTAAAATTTGGTGGAGAGTATC